AAAAATCGAATTCCTTTGTATTTAGAAAAAAATCACAATTCATTTTATATTGAACGATGATTTTAAATTTTACAACACTTTCAACTTCATTGAGATAATGCTAAAATAAATCAAAGATTTATTTGATTTTACGTTTATCCATGTAAATAATTTATAATCTTTCAATGATTTTATCGCACTTAGAAAAAAATTTAAATACCTTTTCAGTTTCGCATCGTAACTAAAGATAAATTTTGTAGTGTTTATTATTTTATTCGACAATACATTTAATTAGTCAAATAATGCTATTATTGTTGTGTTTAGACTAATTAAAATTAAAAATTTGTCCAACATTTCTATTTTCAATGTTTAAAAGGTCACTTATTCATACAAACATTAAATTTAATATTTAAAAGTATTTTGGAAAACATCTTTAATGTTAAATTATAGTTTGTGTAATATACTTAATTAAAAAAAAAAAAACTATGGACATATCTTCTATGTGCAAATTGGCGTCAAAGTTTCATTAACCTCGTAAAAGTTTTATAAATAATTTTACTAAACTTTTTAGGCAGAGTTTTTTTAAAAAATGTCAACAATGAGTGATGTTAATTATTGTCAGAGTTATTTTTGGTCCTAATTAAGTTAGGTCACGACTCAATTACAACTATATTTTCATATGTGTAATGTATATTGTAGTCCCTTAAATATATATTTATTTAAGGCTAACACTAGTAAATTTCATTGGAGGGGGAGAGATCAGTACCAAATTTTCCAGTAAACACAATAATGTAGGCTGCAAATTATCATATGCAAAAAACAATTTTAGTATTTTATTTTAGCTTTGATGCGAAGCTAAATAAGTAATGGTTTTACTATGGTGTGTTTTTTTTATGTTTGTTCAAAAATTTTCATCAAATTCTCAGCTCACGCAGAATTGATTTTGTTGCTCTATATATCAAAAAAACTCAATTTTAATTTAGTTGAACTAATCGTCGCTGAAAATTAAAATAAAAACCCCTTGATTTTAAAAATGTATAAAAATACAACATTACACAACCATAAAATTAGATATTTTCAATTTATTTTTTCTGTATTTTAAAACTGCTTTAAGTTTTTTCTAAAAACACTGTTCCTAATGAAATTTTAATAGAGTATACTAGAGAGCTATCTTTTAATATACTTTTATGATCCAATCGAATATCTAGTGAAAAACCTAAATACAGGAAAGAGACCATTCACGCATACACAAAAAAAATTTTAACTCAATTTTTAAATATGTTCCGCGTATCGATAACTACACTAAATTAAATTATTTTTAACGTCAGATATTATTTAAAAAAGGTACGACGATTTGTCTACTATGCGAAAATGTTGAAAAGCTAATTTTCAAAAAGATTTAAACGACAATGATTTTTAATTTTATCAAGACGTTATGTTATATTATTTTTACTTAAATAAATATTTTCTATACAAAATATTTTTGATGTTTCACAACTACTAAACTTTTGGTGACGGCTCACATTTTAATTATTCAAGTAATTATTATAAAAAAAAAAAGTCAAATTATTCAAAATACCTACTGAAAATTTTATGATTTATAATGTTAAATAACTCATAAAACTTAATTTCTATCGGTGTTCAAAACGGCAACAGCAAACAGCTTATTTTTTTAAATAACTTTGAATTATAAAGAGCTTCTTAGACTAAACTCTGATTATCACGTGATAGCCGTAAATTCACACGAATTTTTACTTCGAACTATTGATTACAATAAAATAGAATGTTAGCTTCGATTAGAAGCAAAAAATATATTAATTTTAATATAATGAATTCGTGGCGACAATTTTTTTTATAATTACCTAAGGTATTTCTCTTTGTTTTCTTGTTATTATTAGATAATTTTTATTTTATAAGCTAGTTAAATTTGTATATAGGAGTTTAAAATAATAAATTTTGTACCCTAGTAAGATTTAAGAATTAAATTTAAAAAAAAACTTAATATTTAATAAATAAAGAAATATATAAAATTAAAAATATCAAAAAAAATTATCTCAATATAATTATTATTTAAGAGAAACCAGTAGCTAATATTAAAAGAATCACATTATACGTAACATAACAACTTAATAACTATTTATAATTTCTCGGTATAATTTACAATATTATAATATCAGTCTAAATAAAAATCGGTCAAAAGAATTTTTATAATATTAATTTTATTATACATTTATGTAATTTAGTCTAACATTTTTGATATTTTATAAGTTAAATGACATCAAAATATTTTATTTTGAAATATAAATATGAGATTCTCCAACTACTCTAAATTCTAAATGTTATCTGAACACCCCCCCCCTTACAAAATTTCTTAAAACGCCATTACATTAATTAATATCATTAAATATTTGATTTTATTAGAATACTTAAATAACTTAATTAGTTAATGTTGAGCAAATTAAAGGTATACATATTTATAGTTTCATTTACTGTATTGTTAATTTTCTCACTTATGAAATTGAAATAACTTTTTTCATCTTGCTCATTAAATTCAGAATTTAAACTTTTTTTATTGGGTAAACATATATTAATTGAACAAAATTTTGATGCCGTTGAAGAAATATAACGAAATAATTTTTTTAACAGTTGAATGATTTCGTCCGGGTTATCATAATTTGGGTGAAATGTGTCGTTAAATGTCTCGTGAATTTTATTAAGTTGATGAACTAATGTTAAGCTGATGTAATATCCTGTGTCCATATCGTGAAGTATTGCCAGGACAATCATCATTTTATCTAATAGGAATTTAAAACGACTAATTGATTTTTCAATTAATTGTATTACATTGAGCTTTTCTATTATATCAATCGTGGTCAACGGTTGTTTATTTGGCATCATAAACATATTAATAAAATCAGATACTAGTAACCTTATTAAAGTTAAGATCACTTTTATTTTTTCTATGTACTTACATTTGACCATTTTGATAACTAACTCTAATATATGTCCGTAGTTAGCTTTAATGGCTGATTGATAATTACATTGTGTAGAGTTGCCTGCCATTTCGTTTTTATTATTGACCGTATTTTCAATACTAAAAAGATATTTAAATAAATGGACTACTGAATAATTACTATCTTTGAAATCATATAATAATCTAATATTGATGTTAGAAAATGTTTTCCATGAATCAGTAAACGATAATATATCATTGAGTTTTACGATAAGTTCTTGTGTATTTATTGACTTCTTTGATTCTCCCAAACAACTATTTTCCCGAAAATATAATAATATTGAAAGTAATCTATGTAAAATTTTTGAATAATCCATTTATGAATACACGATTTTATTAGAGTACAGTATTTCCTAATGCGTATTAGATTTAAACATATATGAAAACTAAAAAAAATTCACTAATAAAGATTTTATATTAGTTGGTCGTTATAAATACTTTATATTTGGCGATAAATATATAAGAGTAAATAAGTTTTAATTATGAATTATTGTTTTTTTTTATTTCCAACAATCTAAAAATGAATAATTTGTAGTTAACTTATATTGACTTTTTATTCATTTTAGCGCTGTAATATTGTAACATAACTTTTGTTCCTATAATACTCTAATAAATCAAAAGTATAGGCGAAGGTCCGAAAATTTTTACAACTCGCCCACGAACGTTTTGCAATCTAAGGTTTGAAATTTTGACCAGATTCGCTCAATGACATTTCTCAGATATCATACAAAAATCTATTGAATCCGTTTATTTTTCACCGTTTTACGACATTTTTTCACACGTTCGAGACGCCAAAGCGAGCTGTCTGTAATTCTTGTGACAATTTACGACATATTAATTTAAGTGCAAGCCCAGGGAGCTAATTTCTGCGTATATGTTTTTTTATGACCCTAAATTTGTAAAATATGAATTTTTTAAATTTTCTATTCAATTCATTATTAATATATGTTATTGTTGTTATATATGAATTGATTGTTTTAATTTATTAACTATTTTTTTTTCATTTTGATATAATGTTTGTTATTTTTATTTATTACGTTTAGTTTATTTAGCGTACTTTTATTAAGATACATTGTGCCGATTTCTATTAAATATGATGATAATGCAAATTTGTTAATATATTTAATCATGTTTATTGTTATATATATCTTTTGTTTAAACTTTTGCTTTATAATTTGCTTACTGTTCAGTTGAACTATTTTTCATTTGCGCATATTTTGTATATTTTATCAAAGAATGTTATATGTTACATGTAAATAAGTATTACATAAATTTCAGGAAGGTTTTAAGTATATAACATTGTGCATTCATTATCAGAATAGTACAGTATTAATAATTTTATGTATCTCATATGTGATGTATAATACTGAGTTATTCGTAATAATTGATATCCATCTTTGACAACTTTGCTGTCCAACGTAAAATCATGGTAACCAATATTTTTATCAAATTGAGTCCCAGATATAATAACCTGCCGAATTTTTTTGTAATTATTCTATAATATAAATACAACTATTATAATTAGAATATTAATAATTATCGTGTATACCAGGAGTGTATTTAAGGGGGATATAGGCGATTGCCTCTCTTGAACCTGCGCTATAAATTTTTTTTAGGCAACTTCTAAGAAATAATGATCTAATAACATTTTTTTTTATCATCACTTCGATTTTTAACAAACAAAAAAAAATTTAATAGCATGTTTAACAAAGTAATAAAATTAAAAAACCTCTTAAAGTAATTTTTGATTACGCCCAAGGCTACNTGTGTATACCAGGAGTGTATTTAAGGGGGATATAGGCGATTGCCTCCCTTGAACCTGTGCTATAAATTTTTTAAAAAACAATTTCATGAGATGGATTGAATTATTTTGTAATTGAGCTCTTCTATTAGTTTAGTATTTAATTATCTATCCGATTTAAACTACTTCTTTTTATTCTTTCATTGAACAATCATGCTAAAGATGTTCTTGACATATTTAATAAATTACTAATAAAAATCTTGGTCATTAGATACATAATAGAGTTACTATTGATTTTAAATCATAATTTTTTTAGACATCTAAATTTAAAAAAATAAACATAATTCAATAACTAATAAAACTCCTCTAATTCGTCCAGTCTTACCAAGATTGTTTCGAATTATGGAAAACATTATACTTCTAAGTTACAAACAAGAATTTTACACGATTGAACACTTAAAAAACAAAATAAAAAAAGTGCTAACTTAAATTTTTTTTATAGTGTAAATATTTGTTCTTATAAATTATAAATAATTTTATTTGTGACAGAAAAGAGAACTTAAACTAATCACTTCCGATTAATACAAAATTTCATTTTTTTAAGATTTATACTTGATACTTTCACTGATTTTCTTACATAAGTTTGTTTCAAAAAAGGTTTTAAGGTTATTGCTGAATGCATTTGCGACGACCTTCTCATCATCACTCGTCATTTTTGACCCAGCTGGAGGCTTAACTACAAAATTTGTCAAGACAACATCAGTTTTGCATTCAGTAGTTTTGAGTATATTGAAACTTAATATGATATCAATCCGAGAAATGGTAACATTAGAAACTCCTGTGAATGGTTTACTCTCTTCAATTTTTAAATTAAATTTACCGTCCAAATTGTGTGATGTAATACGGAATTCGACAATTGCACTTTTCGCCGCAGCCTTAACGGTTACTTTTTTCACTTTGTTCTCAGTGTTAGATAGACCATTTATCAGTATGTTATTAACTGTAAAACCCGCTTTAGAGGATAATTTACCGTTAAAAGATGGAACGTCTACAATGGAATCGGTTTTAAATACTATGACAGATTTTACAGCTTGTCGTATAGCAAATGTAATGTTATTATGCATATCTCTAGCCACGCGATCTGCCACGTGTTGAAAAACAATATCTTCCAAAAAGTACCTTTATTAACAAAAAAAAAACATAAACTTAATTACTTTATTATAAATACTTCATAAGTTTTACTGTAAAAGTATAAAAAACTAAAAATGTAATAATATACAGAGCGATTGATTTATTATCAAGCACTCAGTTACTCACAAAATAAATACAATAATGAGAAAAAAATTTTTGATTTTTTTTTGTTACGTATATTTCTTGATTTATCAAGTACAAATTACTTTTTAGAATCATTCCTTATAACTTATAGAGTTGTAAACTTTAATTTTTATTAAGGCAATACACATATTTTGTTGTCTTATTTATTAGTTTTGAACTAAATATGCAAATGAATAATAAAATTAGAAAATAAAAATTTTTGTATCAGTATTTCAAAAAACTATTTTAGTTATCGTTTATTTAATTAAAAATAAGTAAGAAATTATTAAAGATAACTTTCTTAATCCGACATAATAAGAGATTAAAGATAAAAAAAATACTGTAGATTTTCGTAACGTTTTAATACTATAACTGACAACTTTAAGTACAATATTATTTTAAATAAACATAATTCGCAATTTTTAAAATAATAAGCTCTTGTTATGCTCTTATTAATGTTTTTCGTCATGTTCCAAGGGAGTCGACCAGAACCTTATCATTCCCCAATAGGATCTTTTATTTATTATACTTAATGAATATATTGTAAATAGTTAAATAAACAAATCTTATTATATTAATAAAACATTATTCATTTGTTATTCATTTTATTAAAATTTTTTCCTATACTACTCTGTGGATATATTTAATAATGTGACAATTACAAAGTTTATTCATTTGCATTAAAAATGTTTAAATTTTATTATTAATTGAAAATATAATTCTAATTATATATTATTTTTTGTAAAAGATTTTCCAAATATAGTTTAACTTAATTATATTACGCTTTTTTCAAAATATAATTTAATTTTACAAAAATTAAATTTAATACAATGAAGTTTGATAACTCGAATTTCAGAGCGATTTTAAATATGGGTCTAGCCTTTTTTATTTATAATGATGTTTCATATTAATGATATAAATATTAAAACCATAAAACGTAAATAATTATAAAGAACTTATTATAGAGAAGGCAATACAAATGTTTAAAAAATAAAAAAAATGTAATTAATTAGAATAAATTGTATTGTTCTAAAATATTGAATGAATAAAATAATCAATTTTAATTACTTGATATGAGGATCATTGTTAATTTGATTTACATCGGGTAGACCACCAGTAAAAAATGCTTTGGCTGACTTGTATGACATGCTAGACTTAGGAACAGATAATGGATAAGCTGCAGTATTATCTGATAGTGGAGTGTTAGAAAGATATTTCATGTCTTGAATTTGAATGTGATATTTTCCTTGGTTAAAATAAGTACTGTTTATAAAAATATATTTTCCTCTGATGTTTGCTTCTTTCCATACTACTTCTGTCGTTACCTATTTATATGTTAAATAAAGGCAACCATCAGTATTAAAAAAAATCTGTAGTTTTTATTGTTTTATTAAATCAGTGAAAGTTGTTGTTACTTGATCAGGAGCCCATTGAAGGACAATCGAGTTTTTGCTATAAGTTAATAATCCACGAATATTGTTATTAATGAAAGCCAAATCTGATTGAGGTAGAACAGATCGAGTATTAGGTAAAGGCATTTCATCTTTGAAAAAACCCAAAGGAGATTCTGGATCTAACACATGACTACTATATTCAGTAATTATTTTCAAAATTGATTCGTATGATTTTGTCATAGCCTTTTGAATTTCTTCATCGGACTTTCCATACATTTTTTTCAACAAAAATCCTGGGAATGATTCAGGGTCCGAACTCCAATTTACCGTCGGATTGTCTTAAAATTATAAAATTAACTCATAAACCATACATCATTAATGTTTTTTTAAAATTTCAGTTTATTACCTGCAGCAAAAACTACGACAAAGCATAATACTAAAACAGCTAACTTTAAAGATTCCATTGTTTTTCTAGTACTATTCTGCAAAAATATTTTAAGGTTATAGTTTAAATGCGTTTTATATAATTTTAGATAAAAGAAAATGTTTTTAATTTTATTTCAGGGAAATTTTATAGGCTAATGATAATTTGTGTAAACAATAAGACATAATAGTTAATGATCTTGAAATTATTCAAAAATGTTTTAAAAATTTAGAGTTTTGTATTAAAAAACGGCAAATTGTAAACAAAATATCTTAAATCATATAAATATATTAAAATATACATTCAAAAAGAATTAGTAGCTTCTCGCTTTTTTTTTAAAAAATTTTTTTAAATTTAAGCCATAGATTAGGGCCCTATCCAGATTATTATTCAGAGAAAGATCCAAAAATAGTATATATAAAATGTTGAATTGATTAGAATATATATATATATATTAATTACAGGGGTTTAAACGGCTAGAACCCTGATATTAAAACATCTTTGTTATAGAATATAGATATTTATAGTCAGTAGTAAAAATTTATTTTTAAAAATATATAAGTATTCTTTAAACAAAATAGTCATGAGTTATTATGTTTTTTGTAACTATTGAATAAGTCAGACACGTATTTATGGATACTCATCCCTAAATATTTTTAAAACAACACTATAATTACAGAACTATGATAGTATTTTATAGAGCGAAAAATTATTTTGTTTAGACCTTCTCCTTTATGAATTCCTAGCTGCTTGTCTGTAAAAAGTCAATGATTAACATTTTATTACACATAAACAGTAATCAAAGGTTATTTTGTAATCGTTGTTATTGAATTTGTAAAATTTACGCATAATATGAGATTAAATGAAATTTAAACGGATAGCTATTTATTTTTAAATTTCAATTTAAATTAAATTTGCAATTAATAATTTATAAACATTTCAACGTTATTAAAAACACTCTTGAAATATTATAGACTATTTAAGCACAATACAGTGGCAGATTAGTGAGCAGCCTAATTATGTTTAAATCTAGAACCAAAAATATTTTAGGGGATAACAATTTAATTTTTAAAAGTAAAATTAAATATAATTAATACCTAAAATATTAGTTTAAACTTAGCAAAAATATTATTCAACTTACGGGCACTAAAATCTTAATAAGTTACTGGTAGTTGATTATTAAAGATGATTGAATTAAAAGAGCTTAAGTTACAATAACATATTTAACAAATAATACACCAATTGAACACTGCCTGATGTGTAGTATAATTTAGTTTCACGTTTTGTTGAATTTTATACATTTCCAGCAATGATTTATCTTATATTATGAATATTTTTTCATTTGATCTTTAAGATAAAACTACAGAATAAAAGTTTTTGTTGGGTTGGGTTTAAAACCACAAAGCCAAACAAAGACCATTAATCTATCATTGATATATTATTTATATCTAACATTTTCCATATCCAAAGTTCCTTTTTAAGATAAGATAAGATCTTTCTTATATTATTATTTAGTATTATGTCTGAAAATACTACCAAAATATTTCTCTAGTATTTCCAATAGTTTTAATTTTATTTCCCCTAAGGATATTAATATAAAAATTGATAAATATAAATTTATATACACAATATTTGTAAGTATGTATTATATACAATGTTAGTATACAATTTAAGAATCGAATATGATTATAAAATGTATATATGTATGATATGGCTTCTTTAAGTTTTAAATGGCCAAATTCTAAAATTGAAATACCATTCAATGGAAAACATGTTAAACTTAAAACGCTTGCTTACTTTGCTAAATTAATTTTTTTATATTTATTTTAATTAAAATTTTATGATTTAATCGATTTATTTAAAGTATTAAACTAGTTTTACGTTACTTATAAATCTATTTATAAATAATGCTATTAGTGAAGAGCTCAAGGCGAAACATCATAATAATTTAAGTCATAAACTGGTATTACTAACGTTAACTTGACTAACTCGTCTTATATAATATTATGACGTTTTTTTATGTTTGATAAATGGTAATATTTTTAAAAATTACATGTATTTTTCAATTTCAATAGAAATTTTATTACTCCTATAAATTATAGATTTATTTAATATTCATAACATTTAAAAATTATAAGTTTAACAATTTTCCAAATTAATAACAAATATTAATTTAGCTTAGAAGTATCAGTTTAGGTAGGTTCTATGGTGGTATTGTGATTTTATGAAAATATCTAAAATTAAAATTGTATCGATTCTCTTATCTTATATTTCCTTATTTTATCTTTTAATAAAATACATTAATTACTATTAAATTATATGACTTAAACAAAACACTATAATTTTGTAAGCTAATCAAATATGTATGATTACGTTTAAAATTCTAAAGTTGATACAAGTTTAAGAGCATAAATGGGTATAGAGGGTAGAACTATATATTTTGAGTTAAATTATAGTGTGCCGGATACTGATATCTTCTGAATAGAAAAAAATTTTTATCTATTACTTTTGAAGATATTGAGTGAAGCATAGCGAATCATTCTGTACATTACGAAAAATTATCGATAAATTTAGACACATTATAAAAGATCATTAGTACGGTTATAGACGACAATAAAAAATATTTCTAAGATAAACATTGTTTATCCCAGAAAGTAAAATATTAAATTTTACTATTCATTATTACTATAATGAATGTCACAATAAAAATAATTAGTATAATGTCATATAATAAAATACGATACACTGTTTAACTAAAATTTTACATCTAAAGTAGAGAAAAAGAAAAGTTATTGAAAAACATTGATTTTGAACAATGATATTAAAATCATATCATATCAATTGACATGGTAAACAATACTAAATACCCACTAGGGAATATGGGACATAAAAAATAACTAGTACTTCGGGACAATACCAGCTATGTATTTAACTTATTGGCGCCTTCTGGCTAAGCTAATTTTTATGCCTCCTCGATACTATTATTTTAAGAGTAGATTGTTTAAAAATAAAAATATTACACTTTCGAAATCAAATAGCCCTACACTGTTGCCATATAATGACCTAACGAAATATTACATTTATTAGTTTATTATTCTATCATTGAAAATTTTTTCAATGTAAAGACGTCATAGTTTAAATTATTCATGTAGTTTATTTTAATAAGAAAATATATATTTTTAATAACCTGCACCAATTATGAAATTTTTATTAGCTCTCCTGACAAATGGCGAATTTTTTAATGATTTTATTAAAAAAAGTTAAAACATTAATACAAAACCACAAAAAGCTATTGAAAAAACCAGTGGATATGTGTATTACAAATATCGGCACCAAACAGATTAATTTAATTTAATTTTTTTATGCGTTCATCAATGGCAAATTATTATTTTTAAGGAAATTCTTTATATATTTAAATGTAATTTTTTATACTTTTTCATAATTATGTTTTTCCTGGATTTTTGTCATAGCAAAAAAAGTTCTTTTTTGAATTCTTCATAAAATTATTTATTAATAGAAAATTCATAATCAAATCCAAAAATAGTAACAAAAATAAATTAAAATTTTTTTTCTTGAAAAATGTCTATAAAGTACAATTTTAAGGGTCTATAAAGACAGTTAAACTTGATGGATAAGCTCCAAATGTTGCATAATTATTTTAAACATAATCCAATTATGTTAAAAAGTTAATCGAATTTTTTTTTAGTTCTTATAACGATTTAATTGTTTAATTAAATACTTAATTACTAGTTAGTAATTATCTCAAAAACAAGATGTGTTGGAAAAAATCTGAAAGTAGTTTTGGAATTAACGTCCAAAGTCTATCAAGTGTTCATATAAATATTGTAGACAGTAAAATAACTGTTTCATTGAATAATTAACTGACAATTATTATTTTAAATAATATTATTTTAGATGCAATTTAAAATTAAATTTTCATATAATTATTACTTGTACAAAAACCTTTACCACTTTGGATTACAAATTTTCAAAAACAATATGCACAAAAATTTAAATTATTATAGCATAATTTGTTTTATTAATGTATTACTGTAAAAAATTTATAGACTTACCAAATAATAGTTTGTTCATGAATGATATTTGTACTAATCTTTAAATTACGAATTGAATCTGCTTTTATATGAATAATTTGATGCTATAATAAATATTTTTAATCAGTGACACTTCCAAGGTGTTTACAAGGAATCATTGATACAACTTTTTTGTTTTTTCCTTCGACTTGTCAAATTTATGTTCCAACAATTTCTTTTGCATAATAAATTGTTGATTGAATAAATTATTTTTATTTTAAAACACTAATCGACCAACTCTTTACTTAAATAATAATAATATAATTGTTAATACATAAAATTATATTATAAATAGTTACAAATTCATTATAATGACTAAGTTTGACCGATATAATGAAAATAAAATGAATAATTTTATTATATTAAATATTTCTATTGATATTCATCAGAATGAATATTTTTTACTTTATTATGTGATGATTTTACACTCAACTGTTGGTTAGTAAAACTTTAAATGCTTTTTTTGTAAAATTATTAGATATTATAAGCAAATAAAAAAAAAACATAATTTTAAATATAAAAAAAAAGTAGAATTATATTCTTAATAATAAGTCGCCTTAGAACAAAAATATTCTAACGAGAATTTTTACACATTTCAAGCGATTTTTTTTTGTAATATCTTATTAAAAATATTTGATATTTAAACTATATTTATAGAATGTAGTACTAAATAAAATAACCCTTCCAAAAAATACTTTAGTGTTGAATCATCACTGTTGATGCAATCGATAAATTCACAGTTAAAACAATTTCTTTATAATTACCATAAAATGGTCTCAATTTGGCTGTTATGTAACAATATGGCTACTTTGAATATAACTATAAAGCGTTTTGTAAATTTGAAAATATAAAATTGGTTAATTAATTAACTTTTATTCGAAGTAGACAATATCTCCAATTTCATTTTTTTTACCCGAATTATCCAAAGTTAAATAAAGAATTTGTAAGTGACCAATTTTATTCTTGATGATCATTCAGGTACATTTTACAATGGTATAAAATATATAAAAAAATAAAAGTAAAATGAATACTCCGAAAAAAGATTATTACAGTAACTTAACATCAACAAATTCAACATAGATAATTATTAATCAAAATTTGACATACATATATCTATTGCAGAATTGTCGTTAAGTTGACTGGTGCAAAATTTTCGTAGATTCTTGGATATTAATTTCAATATTCATATGTTGTTTATTATGACGATATTATACAGTTATAATGTAACATCTGTGATACATTTATTATTAACAAATTATATATCAACTATTTAATTGTTTTCAGTCAATATTAATAGTATTTGAAAGTTGTGATTAATTTGCAATGTTAAATTTTATAACATCACTCAATCGTGCGTTTAACATCTTAATGACTTTCTTACAAAGTCAAAAAATATTTATTTCAAAGTTAGAAGTTGACAAAGGGCTATTATGCTCGGAGAGAGAGAGAATTTTATTAAAAGATGAGGCAACCATTTTAAACCTAGGAACAGACTCACGTCTTAACATCTACACAAATTATTACTTTTAGCTGATTTACAAGAAGAAGGTTTTAATTTTTTAATTTTTATTCATGTTTCTTTATCGATTATTTATTTATTTATATGTACATTTATTATTTTTAAAACTTGTGATAAGAATTGAAATATAACATACCATTGTAATTAAAATTACAAGTTGAAATAATATTTTAGCATTTTATCATTTTTTCTAACATTGAAATTCTTGTTTAAATGGATTAATAATGCTTATAAATTCCCACTATCAAATCACTGTTACTCGATTACAATAATATTAAATAACTTAAAAAACTTTAGGTTATAAATTTTGTATATTTTTTCAAAAATATTTAAATAGGTTAGAACTAATAAATTAATTTTGAAAATTTGTTTATTTTTATGATTTTAAAGAGTATAGTTTGTTTATAACAAATTGATTTTTAGCGGAAAGTTTATTAAAAAGTCTAAAATAACTTCATTCTATATTTTTCTTTTGATATATACTCATATTAATACTTTTATTTCGATATTTTAGTGTTAACAATATTTATATTCGATAGCAGTATTGATATTTTCTTTCGATATTCTATTTCGAATTATTATTAACAGATAAATACTAATGATCTTCAGAAGAGAAATGCCAATTTTTAAATTATTAACATGTTAAATTTTTAACATGTTTACAAATCCTTAAAAACACAATTGTTAAAATGCCTAACCTGTTAAATAATTGGAGGAAATTATAATACATTTCTTCAATAGATGGATAATTAAATTTTCATTACTTAATGCAATATATTAATAATATCTACTTTCGGAGGTCATTATAATCATGGTTAAAACAATGTATAATTTTTTATTTTATTTAAATAATACTCTTTTATGATGGCTACTCTGTTTTTGTACACCTGATTTGCCTTTATCTTAATTTGTTAAATATATTTTGTACTGCTAAATGACTGTTGATATTGTCACATGGATTATGTTGAGGTTGTCTACCCGTAAAGTAGTGTTCAATGTCTGTAAAGATGGCTCCAAAATTTTACGCTTAGCGTTTCTGGTTCGTTAAATGTTGATATAGTTTTTGCTGAAGTCTGAACTTTTATTATATTAATGAATTAAATTTGATTGAATCAAGTCGCTTATTGTTTTGTTTCCGAACAAATTGTTTTTTTTGCTTGACTAAAGGCTAGTTTTTTTAGTTACTAAGGTATATTTATACTCCTAAAATGAATTATTAAATATTTTAATTGTTTTTAATATATTTCACAGATTAATCATTGTTTCAGAATCATTCAGAAACAAATCTGAAATGCCACCAAAAAAGAAGGTAGTTTCAAAAACTAAAGAAGCCTTGACAGCAAGTAATGAAAATTTGACTAATATTACAGTTAGGCGGCCGATCAAAAGTACGCATATAAGTTTTATATTAGGAAGTAATAGTTACAATATTCATTTTTCATACCTTTGATTCATAATTTTAAACATCTACAAGGTATTGTAAAATAGATATTTCTTTCTTAATATTTGTTTATTAAATTAAAATAAAATGCCAACTTTCAACAGTATATAATAAAAATTGTTCACTTGTGGCTAATTAATTAAGTAAAATTAATAATATTTTTAATATAGTTTTAATTTTACTTAAACAGTATATATATATATTTTTGATCATTTGATGATATTAAAATTTATGGTTATATTGTTATAAATGATATGTATCAATATACTATTAAAGCTAATTTTACTATAAAAAGTAGTATACTTTAAAATAACAGATTAGGATCATGAATGTAGAATTTTCTATAAACTGTAATCTTACAAATAAACACTGCTTTAATATAAGTATACAAGTGTGGCCGTAATCAAGTCTGAAAATAAATATTCCTTAATATTTATAAATCTTGTATCCGCATTATCTTTTAAAAATATTAGAGTCATTCAACTATTTTTTTTACTAACTTGTATTATGTATATGTGTTATATGCCATTTATCTACACAAAAAACTAAACTAAGTTTCCTCTTTATTAATATGAAGATGGTATATTTGTATAAATATTTAATAAATTATTATAACTTTTTTTTCACTAGGAAATATAAGATCAATATTTTAATTTTAGTATGATTTGAATAATGTTAATAAATAATAATTAAAAGATGAAATTGACTCTGTAAATAATAAATCAATTTTTACTAATTTCCTAGAAACATTTTTTCAAGTTCTAATATTTATTTTTCCTTCTAGTATTTAAACTATGCTTGATTTTTTTAATTTCAATGTTAAACTGTTTATATTTGCTTGAAGTGCTTGAGGATATATCCATGTTTACAGTTGAGTTCTAACTAGCAACCATCACTCTGAAGATGGACTCTGCAATGAGTCCGAAACGTCAGAACTCAACTGTAAACATGGATATATCCTCAAGCACTTCAAGCAAAAAAACAATCCATGAATGTTTATATTTGGTTTATATTTTTAAATATTTAAAAGTTGTATTGGTTAATAATTTTGACTATTTATCAAAAAAAAATTAGAAGGGTAGAATTTATTTTAATCAATCAATTTAAGTTAAATAATCTCAGATCATAGTAAATTAAAAATAACTTATTGACCTATTAGTTGCTTATTTCAAAATACTTTTTCAATAAATAAGTTTGATAGCCTGGTGTTTACATCTTGAATATTTTAAAGTAATTTTATAAATTTTAAAAGTTTATCTGGTAAGTGACTAGAATATCTTTACATTCAAAATTAGAGTACACATTTCTTTATTTTTCAAGTTTTACAAATAGTAAATTCATTTTTGTCTTAGAATATTTAGCAGATTTTATTTTAGATTGAGAAGTTCTTTATTTGTATTGTTATCATATTAAATGCAAGTTTGAAATTAAAACTTGTGTATTTATCTAAAAATTACACTAGTACACCCTAATTTATATTTTTGTATTTTTAAATTATAATTATATTAGGTTTAAAAATAAATGTAATAATAAAAATATATACATATATTTATAGACTATGTAGAAGAAACACAACCAATTGTCCAACAAGTATCAGAAGTTGAAAAGCGAAATTTGGATGTAACTGTAGTCATAGAAAAAATGCCCGAGTCGGGTGTATCTGTCTCCCTACCTATTGTTGAATCTGTTGAAATGGAACCAGAAAATGTTAAAAAAGTAGTACAAAAAAAAACAGTGAAATCAAAATCAAAACTCAAAACAAAACAACTTGAAGAAGAAGAATCTAAACCTAAAAAAGGAAGAAAAAGAGCTGTAAGCGAAGATAGAACTATTATATATCCTGAACAAAAAGCAATAAAATCTCGCAAAAAAGCACCTAGCAAAGATGTTAATGATACTTCTTCTGATGTTATATCTCCTATAAAAAGAGGCCGGCGTGCTGCAAGTGTTGATATTTTGTCTTCTGATATAATGGTTTCTACTCATAAAGAAATAAAAAAAACCCGCAAAGCCGAAAAATCATCTAATGACCAAGAAGAAGAAAATTTTAAATATGAAATTCAGGAAGATGATCAATTAAAACCAGCAGAAAAAGCTATAACAAAAGGTAAAAAAAATATTAAAAAAGTAGTTGAAAAACTAGATGAAAAAGAAATTTTTGAATCTGATCAAGGTATTCTGAATGATGTTCCTAAAACATCACAAGAAAAACCTAAATCAAAACGAGGTGCTTCTAAAAACGAACAGGTAATTATTATTTATTTTATAAGAAATATTATTTTTCTAATAATTAGTAGCGTGATGTGGTGCAGTGGATCATTCAGTTGCTGTCTTAGCATTGATATTTAGCTGCACTATTTGCTATTGGTTCTAAAGAGTTTTAACAATGACACACATCTTTGTCTTTTACTAGCTCTTTCAGCTATGTTTCAGGTTGCATCAGGTCTATAGCCGGTGTAAAAATCTGTCACATAGTTGGAATAAAGGCTAAGGTGATAATGATGATTGTTTTTCTTTAAATTTTTAATTTTGTTGTAGACTTCTGAAAGTATTGAAGAAATTGAGTCTACTGAAAAAACCAAAAAAGCAACAAAAACTATAAAGTCAACTCGTAGTGCTCCAAAATCAAAACTGACTGAAGAAAATGAAGTAGAAAAAAAAACAAAACGTGCTCCAAGAGGAAAACAGGTTGTTAAATCCTATTCAGAAGAATCTGAAGACAATGAACAGAACCCTGAAAAAGTTGAAGATTTAGTTATTGATACATTAGAGATATCTCCAGAAAAAATATCTAAATCAAAAACTAAACCAGTTAAAGCTAAAGAAGTCGAAAAGAAAACAAAACGTATTCCAAAAGCAAAACAAATTGCAAAATCCTCTGAAGAATCCGAAGACAATAATGATATAGATACAAATAAAAATAATGAAATAGTTAAAAAATTATCTAATTCGCCCATTGAAAATAATGAGTCAAAACCTGTTGCTCTTGTAGAAGAAAAAGAAGTTGAAAAAAAACAAAAACGTGCTCCAAGAGGAAAGCAAATTCCAAAATTATATGAAGAGCCTGATGATATTAATTTAGAGAAAATTGAAAGTGATAGTATTGATATACAGGTTGAAAGCCCAGAGAAAATTGAAACTAAACCTAAAGCAAAACGTGGGGTTCGTAAAGAAAAACAACAAAATCTAGCGGAATCGAAGCTCATTGAAGAATTGCATCAAAAATTTGCAGAAAAAAATTCATCACCTACTGGTGATGAAGAAAATACTGGAGACTTACCTAATGGTCAACCTAGTACCCCAGAATCTGGGAAAGATGAAGTACAACCAGTTGTTAAACGTAAACCAAAAGGAAAAACTGCAAAAAAATAAATATATTTTGTTTATTATTTATTTATTTTTATGTTATCACTATTGTCAAAAGTTTTATTTAAACATTTATTTTAATATAACTAAATGTTTATAGAACTTTTATGTTATTAAAATATTCTGTACATTTTTTTATAAAGAAAGAATACCTTTTGTAACCCATTAAAATTTTTATCTATAAAACATGTTTAAAACATAAAATTATGTACGATACTCATTATATGTATTGATCATTAAATAATTAAAGTCTAATTTTTTTTTTAATTTAGTTGTTACAATAAAGTTAATTTTGTATTATTAAACCTTTCATTTGTGGGGGTTAGAGCATAATGATATAAATTAATTTTAATAATACTTCAATCTTAAAAGGACTAATATAAATGTTGATTTTGAAAATGCAATTATATTATTTTATAGCATAATTTTATTACAGTCAATAATACCAAAGAAAGAGGTGTTAAGTTACAATTATTTATTAATAGGTTAAACTTATTTCAGTCAAATATTCAAATTATACCACTTTCCCTCTAACCTGCACATTTTGACTGTATTGGTAATTTATTATTTAATTTTGAAAAACTATGCCTATTTAATGTTGGAGAAAAATCTCATAGTTTTAGTCAAGTTTCTATTAAGGCAGCTAAATGTCAAGTTTTTCTATTAAGGATGTCTATCAATTATTAGCTTTATAAATCTTGATCTTGATTAAAAAATGATAAGTCTATAATTTGTAATATTTTCAATTGAGATTTTCATATTTCTTAATCTTTAATCAATTATAAAATATATATATTTAAAAGTTTTAAATATATTTCTTACTAAACTAAAAAAATAATTATTCTTTGGTATTGATTAAGTAAAAACTATGATAATATATGTATATATACATACATTTATTAACAAAATATATAATCAACAATATTACAAGCTAACTATAAAAATTTTCAAAGATTAGTATATATAAATTTTAACAATAAAAATAATATCATTCATTATTAATTTTCATTAATTATTAATAATTCATATTTATTTCTCGAATAATTCAAAACAACCATTTGTACGCTTAACTTTTTCACCCTTAGCTGCTAAAATGTCCTCAATATTGTTACCTGCACTATCAGGAAACCAACCTAAATTATCTGCAATTAAATGATTGTTTTTACAACCGTCACATTCAATAATGACAATTCCTTTTTCATAGGATACTTTGGAGAAAGTTCGATTGTTCTTGGTGTTACATACTGTACATTTAAAAAAAATTTGCATCTTAGCACTTTTAACTTCTTCTGATTGTTTCTTGTCACTGGTAGTGACTGGTAATGTTGTGCAAGGTCTAGTATTGATGAATTTAAACTTAGAGGAAACAGAAGTCAAATGATATTCTGTTGGAAAACTTTTAAGTAATGTGGAAAGCCTCGATACCTTGATACAATTTGTAAAACAGAATAACTTAGGTGCTGCAATCATTTTAAATATTATGTTTCACTAGCGGATTTTGATTAGTTACTTAAAAAAATATTAAAAAGATTAAGAATATAATTTTTTTTTATTTATAAAACTACTAAATTTTAATATTTTAATTATTACTATGTGTAATGAACCTTCTAATATTTTATTGATTTTTGTGATAAAAGAATGTGGCTTTATTGATAATAAAACAATTTTAATACACTATCCAGAATAGATAAGATCTTCGTTCTTGTCCATTATTCCGCTCATTAAGCTGAAACAATGATTATATATGACTATCTATAATCATGGTTGAAACTTTTTAGATGTCATTCGCAAAATCGTTGTTTTTAAGGAATTTGAGATAGAAAAGGGCAAAGTAATCAACATCGATGTTTGATGTATCGATACCATTGAAATAAAAATCATCCATTTTTTCTATATATCTGAGAAAAGCAACGATGTTTTAATATAATTTTATTTTAGTGCTGTTGGGTTAAAAATTAATTTAATTTCAGGTATTATAATCTTATTTATAATATTCGACATAATATTTCAGTTATATATGTATATATATTTAAACTTATATATCACAATATAATATTAATATTTAAGAAATATATATATATATATATATATATAAGGGTGGCTCTTATTTTATAAACTTTTGCTGATCGATCTCCGTGCCCACCAATTTTTTTCGTTATTATATGAAAGTTATTTGGATAAAATTTGGTTTTGATAACTTACCCCCCTTCAGCAGCCGAATCGGGTTTAAAAATTCACTCAGAAGGGTAATTTTTTAGTTTATGATCATTATTTCTAAAACTAACATACTTATTATACATAAGGTATTCACAAAAATTTTCTAAAATTATTTTTACTTGCTCAAAAAAATAAAAATAAAAATGACAGCAAATTTTTTAAAATTCACTTTTTGAACATAAATCATTTTTAACTTTTGAAATAATCACTTTACAATAAAATGTTTCGTAAAAACAAAAGTCTCGCATGTTAATCCTACTTTAGTGTTATTTTGATTTAAGTAATTTTATGTATTTTTTGCATAAATATATAATTTGTCAATTAACAAACGGTTAACCGTTTGTTCCAACCGAATTCCCTACCGAGTATAAATGTATACTCTGCGACTTTTAACTTTTATCTCTAATCATTAATTATGTATGCCTTATACGACATATTTATAATTTGATTGCATGCAAGACTAAATTAAATGTATATAATATAAATTTTGCGATAACAGGAAAACTAAATCTGACTAAAATTTTACATGAGACTAATGTTTTAGAAAATTTAATTTTACTTATTTTTTCACGAAACATTTTGTTGTAAAATGATTATTTCGAAAGTTAAAAATGATTTATGTTCTAAAAGTGAATTTTAGAAAATTTGTTTTCATTTTTTATTTTATTTTTTTGAGCAAGTAAGAATAATTTAAGAACATTTTTGTGAATACCTTTTTTGAAGAAAATATTAAAATTTATTTTTTATACACTTTTACCCTAAGTGTATTAGTTTTAGAAATAATTATCAAAAACTAAAAAATTACCCTTTTGAGTGATTTTTAAACCCGATTCGGCACCTGAAGGGGGGTAAGTTATCAAAACCAAATTTTACTCAAATGACTTTCAAATAATAACGAAAAAAATTTGTGGGTACGGAGTTCGATCAATGAAAGTTTATAAAATAAGAGCCACCCTAATATATATATTTATATATACGTATAACCTCAAATTCCTTAGAAACAACGGTTTTGTGGATAACTTATAAAATTTATAAGTTATCCAGAAAATGATTTATAATATAAATCATTTCCGATTTAATAAGTAGAAATATTGAAATATTGTGCGAGGGTAGAGAGTACAGTTGGGTTGGGCATAATCAGATGATTTCGATAATAAAATTATTAGTATTCGAGACATTTTCATAATTGAGAGAATCTCTCGAAAATTAAAAATCGATATTAAAATCGATTTTTGGTTTTACAAGAATATTCAATTATTTTTACTGATTTTGAGTATGTTTTGATTACATTAAATACATTTATAAGTTATAACCTATAACCAAAATTAATCAAATAGGTAAAAGTAAAGAAATATACTATTACATATTCACTAGTAAATGAATAATTAATTTTAATTTTTTTGTATCTGTTGGTACAATACCTATTATTGATTAAATTCTTATTTGAAAATAACAATAATCGCATTAATACATAACTATTAGTGCATGTAGTGTGTTTATACTATTTTTGAAATTTAAAATGAATGATTTCAATTACGAAGTTAGTAAAAATATTTATTTATCAATTAAAAGTCAAGACAGACGACAATTCGAATCATTTTGAGATCGCGAGAAAATTCGATTATTTTGCTCAAATTGAAATATCTCGATTGTTTCATAATTGAGTTATCACGATTATGCCCAATACTAGTAGAGTACATCAACCTTATCTTCTAAGGCTATATGAGATAGATAAAATAATAAAAACACTGAACTGCCTAAATTCATTTTGAAAACGCAATCATTTGTTGAATGTATTAATGACTTTTGTAAGCTAAAGTCTACTGTAACCTTTCATTAAGTAGTTTAGTGATTATGAATAATTAATAAGAAAATTGTCCTAGTTTAATTATTGATTATTAATCTTGTTATTTATTATCCATTATTTCATAAAAATTTTAAATGTCTTGGTTTAATTCATTAAAAGTATTTTTTACTCCTGATAATAACCCTAATAAGGTTATTGAAGTTAAATCCGAAAAATATACCAATCGTCACATACTTTGTCGTCATGAAGGAATGATTTTATATGCCCCAGATAATAATAATGGCAGTGAAATTGTTTTACATTTATCTCGTACGGAAAGTTTAACATCATGTTATAGGTAAAATAATTAATTTTTATATTCTAAGGTAATGTTATTAATGATGTCTACTTTCATAGTTTATACAGAGGCACAAGTAAAGAAGATGCAGAGATACGATTCTGTATATTCAAGGATAAACTGATCGAAATAATTAATTTAACAAAAGATGTATATTTTATTTTAATTTTTAAAACTGGACCAACTAAGTTCTAAAATTTTAGATTTTTATGTAAAATAAAGAGCTTGTTGGTACATTTTAATAAAAAGGTTTTATTTTAAATTATGATTATTATTTTTCAGGGTTATAACTTAACTTTGATACAGGGGTTATGTGACACACTTATTCTACATCCAACATGGAACAATGCTCATTTAGCAGTTCATTTAACATTAATGGACACATTTTCCAAACCAGAAGTATCTATGTAAATATTTTATACTTTATCTTATTTAGCAATATATATGTATCTTTAATGTAGTAGTTTATTTTAATATGTGATTAAAATTCTATTGAAATTTATTTTTAAATTTAAAATGAGCTATACTTACAATATTTTACTGTTATTATTATTATATTATTAAAAGAAGTTGTGGCAAATTTTGATTTATGTAAAATTATTAATGTTTGCAACAATAAATTGGTAATTATTTAAAAAAAGTAGTGGAATTAAGAGTAGGATTTTTACATTAAAAGAAAATTATAAAAAAAATTAATAAATATGTCCATTTCTTCAAAGTTTTCAAATGAAGTAATTTGATCAAAATGTTTTTATTAAAAATAATGGTAAAATGTTTTTACTAAATTAAATATCTTGACAAATATCAGAAATTTAGAACTCATTTTTCTCTACTAAATTATACAAAAAAATCATACTAATTCAAAAATAACAAAAAGTTATTTTTCTAAAAGTTTGAACTTATCTAATTGTTTTACTAGCCCCTTTAATTTCATTAAAACACAATATTGTGGTTGGCCTCTATCCTTTACGAAGTAAAAAAAAACAAAGTTTTACAGTTAATTCAATTAACAAAATTATATAATGTTACAAATTATATTAATATAATGTGAAATATCAAAGGTTTAGGGGCTATAATTAAAGCATTATTTTTACTACTGTATCAACTTTATGACAGTAAAGATATAATAAATATTTAAGTGAATATGAAAAAAATATTGTGCATTGTTGTTTGTATTACTATTTAAACTAAGTTGTGACTGAAATTTACTTTTTAATATATGTATATAATAAAGTAAATTTATTATTATTTATGTAGTTTAAAGAGCTATAAGGATATTAAATCATAATTTTTAAAAATTTATTTTATTGTCTACTTAAAATAATTACAATATTATACAACTTAAAGCATTATATTAAACTATTTCCTTTAGTATTTTTTAAGATAATTTTTTTACTAAAGAACCAACTTATTATACTTATTTAGAGAAATAATTTTAAAAACATGTTTTTGCCTTATAAGTTTAATGTTATATTTTATGTATAATTGCTATATTTTTTCAGTGATTCTTGTAATTCTTGTTTTTATTTTATTAATTTAGGTTGATAAATATTCCAGATATTGATAGTGGTTTATCTCCATTACAATTAGCAATTCAGAATAATTCATTGTCTGTAGTTAAATTGTTAATACAATTAGATGCTTCATTGGATCATTTAGATAATGAAGCTAATTCTATTTATCACTATGCTGCCAAATCTAGCAAAGAAATTATTCAGGTAAGAAAATTTGATATTAAATATGTGGCTTCATTAAACTATTAAAATTAAATAGTGTTGATAAAAAATTATTTTGAAATTAAAATTAAACAAAATTCCTTTATATCAATTGAGTATTTATACATTTTTTTAGCTTAAATTTTTTATTATGATAAATATTATTTAGTTTTTAATCAAAATCCTCCTAGAAGTAATATTTTCAATAAAAATTTTGTGGTCACATAAATTTTTGAAGTAAGGTCATGCCCCTGGATCCCCATCATAAATATTCCCCCGCTTCAGATATAAAAATTAATTATAGAGTGAAATGAATTCTACTTCATCCAATAAATTTAATTATTCTTTTGAAATTAATTTAAATTGGGAGTTTAAATCTAATTTTTTCAGAGACTACATTCTTTATTTTACTATATAATAGTATATATAGTTCTAAATATTTATTCTTAGTACAGAAAATTTTCTGAGACTTATCAATTGAAATTATGAAAAAAAAAAACAAACATAACACTAATATTTATGTTAATAAATTTTTCTTTTTTAATTTTTTTCAAGGTCTTTTCCTCTTTGAGTAGCAAGTGTCTAAATTATAGAAATGTTAATGGTTTTACTCCTCTTCATTTAGCATGTCAGGCAGATAAACCAGATTGTGTTAAAGCATTATTAGTCTGTGGGGCTGATGTCAATATACCAGCTGGGGCTCCAACATCTAATATGAATGAAAACAAATTACCTGGTATAGTTAAAGAGTATCTACAAGACAACCATAAAAAATTATTTGTTGAGGTAATAGAAAGCTTATAAATACTTAAGTTCCATTAATTCCACTCGTCAGTTGCTCCGGTCTACAGACGAGTGGAACTGTCACATCAGCATTTCCCTCTATGCTAATTAATACGTATTACGAATTAAGTAAATGGAAATAAAACTTGTATTATATAAGTGATAAGAACATGGTAATAAATGTTCTTACAATAAGTATATAATTTTTAATTTGTTTTTAAATCAAAGTTATTTTTATTTTTAGAATGGAAATTATAACTTAATTAGATTCTATAACACTAATATGGGGATAACTAATATTGGAAAACTTCTCTTTGGTAAAACAAACCTTAATAAACTTCATTATTTCTGTATAAGGACCTAGTTAACAAATTCAATTAACTTTAAATGAATTTAATATGGAGAAATTTAAATCAATTATAATTACATTTTAGCATTGTCTATCAATTTTTTGAAAAATATAAAAATGTTCCCAAAATAATTTGTTAAATAGTATTGATAAACATAAATTTAAATATATTTTCAATTATGATCATTTGAATTTTAAGGATATGAAATTTGGAGGAACACCTTTACATTGGTCTAGTTCTCGTGAAGTAATAGATAGTTTGATAGCGAATAACTGTGATTTAAATGCTTTGAATTTTGATAAACGCACAGCTCTGCACATTATGGTAAGATAATAAATTACTTTTTTAAACCATAACATTACTTTAAACAATTAAATTAAACTATGTATTTTAAAAGGTTTTAAGAAATAGATTTGATTGTGTTATGGGTCTTTTGTGTCATGGAGCTAATGTAAATATACCTGATGATGAAGGCAATACACCTCTTCATTTAGCAGTTAAAAATAATTTAATTTCCATGATTCAAGCTTTAATTGTATTCGAAGCTGATTTAAATTATATGTAAGCAAAATAATTCTTTTAGACATAAAAATATTAATATTTTATTTATTAAAAAAAAAAAATAAATATTTTATATCTATTTTCTTTAGAAATAATAGTGGTTTATCTGCAAGACATATTGCTGCTTCTAATGACAAAGATACAGTTTCAGATAAAATTTTATACATATTGCATGCTGTGGGGGCAAGTAGATGTATACAAAATAGTAATATTTTATGTAAGAAGGGTTGTGTGTGGAATCAAAGTTACAATGGTTTACCTCCACCAAAACCTAGTTCAATGCAGGTTTGTATTATAAAAATAATTCAAATATCAAATTTGTGTAAAATCCTATTAACCCATTAAGTCCAAAGTTTACTTTTAAAAATGTTATTTTGAAATACTAGTATAGGATTATAGCTATACACTCAAAGGACATAATGAGTTAAAATAGAGAATACAGATTCTATATGGTTTTTTTTTTTGTTATATTAGACAAGGTGTATTGTAACTGCCATGGAAGAAATAATGAAAAAAAGTATTGATTATAATAAAAATTACAAAGGTGGTCGAGTCTTGTGTCTTGATGGAGGAGGCATTAAAGGACTAATTTTGATATCTGTTTTACTCCATATTGAAAATGCTACTAAAGTTCCTATTATTCACTGTTTTGATTGGTTAGCTGGTACAAGTACAGGTGGAATCTTAGCTTTAGGACTCGCTTGTGGTTGTTCAATCATTTTTATTTTAATGTATTCTAAATAAACATATTAGTTTTTAATTATGTATTAATCAACCGTAGGAAAATCATTGAATGAATGTTTATGTTTATATTTTCGACTGAAACAACAGGTATTCAAAGGTAGTAAACCGTATTCTAGTGAAATTTTGGAAAATATGTTGCAAGAAACACTTGGGCCTGATACATATATGAGTGATATAAAATATCCAAAGTAAAAAAAAAAAAAAAAATTTTTTTAATATGAAATTTACATGTTTAATTTTAATCCAGAATCCTAGTAACTGGTTTACTGGCTGATAGAAAACCTGTTGACTTGCATATATTCAGGAATTATACCTCACCTAGTGATATTCTTGGTCATAGCATTCCTTGTGATTACCCATCACCACCTCCACCACATGAACAATTAGCATGGAAAGCAGCGAGAGCAAGTGGAGCAGCACCTTCATATTTTAGGTAATGTTATAATGAAAGTAAAAATCGACATTTCAAGGAGCTTTAATAATAATTGTTTAATTTAGAATGTTTGGTCGCTTTTTGGATGGAGGATTGATCTCAAATAACCCTACATTAGATGTTTTGACAGAAATAGAAGAATATAATTTAGCATTGTATCAAACCAATAAAGCTCATGAAATGTGTGATCCAACTGTAGTAGTCTCTGTAGGGACTGGCTGTATACCAGTATCTGAGGTTGACAATATAAAGTTTTAACCGTAACTTTAATGAGTACTATAATCTATTTTTGTTAACACAGATTAAAAACTTAGATGTATTTATGCCAAGCAGTGTGAGTGACAGTGTGCGTGTAATGTTAGGAGTATCAGCACTGGGAGCACTACTTATTGATCAAGCAACACAGGCTGATGGTCGTGTTGTGGATAGAGCTAGAGCATGGTGTTATAGATCTAAAGCTGCATTTTTTAGGTAAAGCAGATTGATTTAAAAAAAATGTATTTTTAAATAACACTGATAATTTGTAGCTTATATAAATTAAGTCTTATAAAATTTTAATTTAGATTCTGTCCACAAATATCTGAAGATATAGCCATGGATGAAAAAGATGATATAAAATTAGTCAACATTTTATGGGAAACTAAAGTTGATATGGTTAGAAATAGTGAAAAAGTAAATACACTAGCCAAATTATTGAAATAGAGGAGTGTATATTGTTAAAGTGTTTGATTGTCTTTGTTATTCTTATAATCCAATTAATAGTAATAATCACTTATATATATTTTAATTATACACAAATATTTATTTATTGCTTTATATTTAGACATATATTGTAATATTTCTTATTTCCCAATTTCTATATAATTTTCTATGCAAGTGCAAAATCTTTATAGTCTAAAGGAATACTTGATTACTTGTGCTTTTTTATACAAAATATGGTAACACTAAAATACATTGTTTAACAATAGTACCTACATAAAAACTTAAGATTGTTTTTCATTTCAATTTAAAACCATTTTTACATAAATTGGCAATTAATTTTGTCTCTAATAAAATTAAAATAGTTAATGATAAAAAGTTAGTAGGTAAGACAATATCACATTATATTTGGCATAATTTTTCTTTGTTAGAACTATATGGTGTGATGAATTGAATAATATAATAATAAAACAATACATATCTTAAAAAAAGTGTAACGTAATACATTAACTATACGAGAACATTAAATTTCGATATACTAATTTGTAGTCTAATGTATGTTTTTAAAGTAAAAGACTTTCAAGGATACATTTCATTGATGTTAAAAAATACATAGTAATTAATGTACATGTTAATATCGTATAATTCAACACAGTATGGCATCTAAAATAAATTTTTTACAATGTTATGAATAAAACAAGTCCGTTAAGTTATAACAACAATAAATTTATCATATAGAAACAATTAAATGTTTAAATATCAACAATAAACTCTTTAAGGCACCTACTTTGGACAGAACTTTTCGTTTCAACGATACAGTAAAAAAGAAAAAAAGATTTTACGACGTAATGACTTGAGCAGGTATTTTACACACAAGTCTCTCGATCGACAATGTCTTCAATGTCGACCGAGTTTTGCTGTCAGGAAGCAATAGTTGAACATGAACGAGTGTGGTCAGTGATGGTCGTCTGCTGTTCAGGCTCTTCGTAAGTTTTGTAATCGGGTTCGCGGGAACAGTAAATGAACGCCAATAGAGCAAACACTAACCCGAATAGGGTTACCGCTACGACGGGAACACCGTAAGTTTGTAATGCAGCTTGAACTGTGGGCCACTTAGTTTGACAGTTTAAGTCCGACTCGTCCACACCTGAAGGACAATTTTTATGACCGTCACACCACAACGTGGAGCTTATACAAGCGTTTAGCTCAGGGCAACCGTGAACGCATCCTAATTTGAAGTTGACCGAACGATTTGGCTGGGCAGCGACAAATTCAGGTTTGGAAACCTCCAGCCATTTGAACGCCAATGAACCTGGCTCCAACGCTAAAAACTCGACCATAAACCTGGGACTCTGGCGGCCAGCGACCGGCAAATAGTCTGCCCATTCATCCGAGAACATGTGGATACTTCGCCTATCGTCCCGGACGTCGGCAGGACATATTTGCTTGATAAGCCGGACTGGTTCGAGCTCGTACAACATAACTCGATTTCGAGTTTTACACTGAGACAGCGAAGTGTTCAATGGCAAAAAGTGTCCCCACGTTTGAACGAACATACTGTGGCCGGTTCGAGCTTCCAGTAGCCAGGGTTTATCGTGGCAGTATATATCGTCACGAAGTTGTGGGGGATACACCAACTCGATTTCGCCACCGGAACCTCGCACCCATTGTTTTCTTGGACACGCCGGTGAACGCGTAACGCGGATGTGCACGTTGAAATATATGTTGGTAAAATCTTCGGTAACGGCCAAATTGGATACTCGAAAACGAATCTCAACTAGACTAGAAGATGGGTCATAAGTCACCTGGGAAGCACCCAACACGTTTTCAGTAAAATTCTGACAATAACAGCCCCTTTCCAGTCTTAACCCTTGCCAGTATACTTCGCTAATGGTCAGCTTCGAGCCGTCACCTTCGGGGCATAGAAGTTTACTTCTTATAGTTTTCATTTGTTGAACGCCACATTCTCTGGAACCGAAAGATGCGTTTCTCATAACAATTTGCATACGGTAACCAGGTTCGGCGTGCAACCTGTAGAGACAATCAAAGTTTTTTGCACCGCCTCTACCGTACAAGAACACGTTTCTTGGTTCTGCTATGTCAATGGACTTTCGTACCTTATAGTTTATCACACATCCACCACCATCCGTGTCGTCTCTATCGTATACACTACTGTCTACAAACTCGTAGTGCAGCTTAAAGTTATAAGGTTCCAAAACGGTACCGAGCACCGTGTGAACCTGTAGGAATACGCTGGCCGATTTCGATAAGTAGCTTTCGTCGGGCATCGAACAGGGTCGAGTCTTGTTAGGCAGTGATGCATGTTCGCATAGTTTAGGCGCGTCGCAATGGTCCCCCATCAGTGTACCCGCACCGTCCCATAAACGTAGTCTGGTAGGACACGGCTTAAACGTTATGTAGTGATTGGTGCTTCTATGACCGTAGCTTTCAAAAAATAGCCAAATTTTGTCATCGGGCTTTCCTTGGAATCGGTACGTGCACGTGCTGTTCGGTGGAATCGAGTGCTGAGGGTTGACCAAAATGCCTCGTCTTGACTTGAGTGAGCTGGACGCGTTAATGACGAACTCGCAAAAATGTTTACCTCTAGAATAGTCCAATGAATCTGAGTCGACAAACGCTATTTGAAGGTCGAGTTCAAAGCTGCGCAATACTGACACAGGCACGGGCGACGAAAACGTGCCGGGTGTATCGAAGGTTGCAGACCTGAAAACTATTAGCATGACGGGACCGCTTGATACGATCCGGGGTAGTACTGGTCCACCGCAGTACGTTAACAGTACAGGATCGTCTTCCGTCGGTCCGTCATGAAACACCAATTTGTCTGCATCATTTTTGCACATATCGTTGACTCGAACGATTGCCGTTTCGTTAGACGCCCGCGCTGTCTGCAACAACCGGACTCCATGCTTTTGGCTAAGAGACACCATAGCGTGCTTGCACTTGGGTACCACTTTTTGCCGGACAGTGAAGTGGCAACTCACGTTTCTTGGATACATCCCCGGGTAGTTGGGTGACTGCAGCGAGCACTTTTTTCTGTAACACTCATAAAAATTTCTACTGCAGTAGGTGCCGGGCACGGGTTCACCGCGTTCTTTTGGTTCGTCCGTTGTGCCCAACCGAACTGAAGCTTGTTGGTTGTCCAAAAACTTAAATCGCAAATCGAACCTAAAAGGTATTGACTGAAACAAACCGCTGTACGGTATTCTTAGCGTCATAGTCACAGTGCCAGATTCACTGTAGTACACTGCTGGTGGATTTCCATCAAGTGGACTGAATCCACACCAAGAGCCACCCACGTAAGGTCTACCGAGTTCCAAAATTTGCATTTCACCACCGACGCATCTTCCGTTGTCCAACATCCCCAGACGAAATTCTTCGAAAATCAACTAAAAAAAATAAATTTGTTTTATTTCTGTACGAATAATTTTGTAAACTTAATATTCCTAAACTAGGCTTCGTCTAACTGAGGCTCTGCTTCAAACCCGGGACCCTACGAACCTCACGTGCCTTAAACGAGTAAATCTCTTTGGTCAGTCCTCATAAGTAGGCCATTGATTCTATTATGTATACCGGTGGGCATGTAGTACTTAATAATAATTAAAATACTATAAGTATTTTGCAGGAAAAATTAAAATCGGCGTAACAAAAATATATTAAAAATTTAATTATGAAAATCAAGAAAATTCAAAAAAATTCAAAAAAAGAAAATAGTAAAATGTATTGAGTATATAATTGACGTTTGTTTACTGAGGTATTCACCAAGGGTGTATTCAGTAATCATTTTAGGAGGATTTTTTATTTTTTTGTAATTTGGTAAACATGTTATAGAATTTTTTGCTAAAAATCAAAGTGATAATCAATAAATAAAAACAGTCTTTAGAGCTATATTTCTTAGATATTGGCTTAAAGAAATATTGATAGCACTGGTTCAAGAGGGGCGGTAGTGGCTCATATTCCCCTTAAATACACCTCTGGTATACACAATAATTAATAATATTCTAATTATAATAATTGTGTTAATATTATAGATAAAATTCAATAGGTTATTGAACTTATTCCTAGAACTATCTAAAAACGTCAATTTTGATAAGAATATTAATTACTGTGATATGACATTGTATAGCATAGTTTTCATAGACGAGTCCCAATTTTTACAATAAACAAATAGACTTATACATCGTATATAAGAAATTAAGATTATTAATAGATAATGTATATACAAACTTATATACTTATAATCGTAATGAAATCAATTCTTATCAAACATTCATTGACAAAATATATTGCTATTTTAATGCAAAATCGTATTTTAATATAAACTCAACGTGGACATAAAAAAAAAAAAGTTCAATAATTTTCCTGGAATCTCGTGACCAAGTCCTTCGTTGAAAAAAAAATTGTTGAAAATCAGAGCACGCTAAGTAATTTTGTCAGAAAAACGTTTTTTTCATTGTTCTTTTATGTAATAAGATTTCATTTAAATTAAATATCTGTTTACAATTCGAAACTTAAATACATTCCAGTTAAAATACAAAATTAAATAAAACAAATTCTGATCTATAATCGATATATGAAAAATCATGATCTTAACATGATTTATCAATGTTTGATTATATAAAAAGTAAAAATATTTTCACCAAATCGAATAGAATAGAATAGTTTATTTAATTTTGAAATGATATTTATTAAAAAAAAAAACCTTATTTTTTATTTTATTTTAATAAAACAAAGTATTCTCTTTCCATTGCCAACGACTATACTATGTTGAATACACCAGTTCTTGTCCGATCACTAAAGTAAGGTAACGTCGGGCGTACTTGGATGGGTGACCGCCTGAGAACTTTTCGTACTATCAGCTGTTTTTGTTATAAAACTTATAATAGCAAAATATTACCTTTAGACGATACTTTTATACTATTTTATTGCATAATGTTTATGGATTATATTATTTATTATTATTACATAACAGTATTATAATAAAGTGAACAGTTATTGGCAACTTGAAAGCAACCACTATATTCATTAGCTTCGATGCAAAGCTGAGAAGGTACTAATTTTACTATGATGTGTTTTTTTTAATTTTTTTTTTTGTGTTTGTTACCACTTTTTTTCAGCTCTCACCGAACCGATTTCTTTCAATGATACATCAAAAGATCACAAATCGTATCTAGTCGAAGACATTACCTTCAAAAATTGAAAAACATTCTCTCGTTCCTTGTAAATGGGGGAAATATCCAAAAATATTATAAATTTAAATATGGCTTATTTTCGAAATTTTTTCAATTTTTTTACTTGAAACTGCTATAACTATTTAAAAAATGATCAAATAAATATAATTTTTTTTATATAGATAGTGAGGTACTTATCATCTTGTATATTTTTTTTTATAAATCTGACCCTTTACCTGCCCACAGGGGGATTCAAAATGACAACATTTTTAACTTAACTTTTGAAAGTGTTCCGGAAAGACTAACACTTTTATATAAACCTTAAATTAAAGCTTATGTACTATACTTTATTATGGAAAAATAAATTTCGGACTTTATTCTGTCTTCACGATGAAAATGACTACTGTATGCTTTTTGTGTTAAAATTCTCGATTTTATATTTTTAAATTTATACTTCTATAACTTTGAAAAATGTATAGATCAGTACAATTTTTTTTATGAGAAATAATATTTATATACCTCTTTCATTCGACATGCTTTTTTTTTTTTAATCAGACCATTTCCCTTTATACAAGGGTAGTTGAAAACTTAAAAATGCAAATAGAATTTGGAACTGTTTCAACTTATTTTTAATTAATATATATTATTGATTAAATAATTAAATATATTTAAAATATATTTATTGATTATTCATACGTAACCTAATAATTTAATATAAATATTTGATATATTAATTAGAAGGATTTTGTTATTATTTAGGCCATATGCGCATAATCGGCGCAAAAATGGGTTTAGAAAAGTATATTTTGGTCTCTGATAAAAATTCCTTGTGGACCGGTAAATTTATTTATAAATAACAAACAATTTTTTTTTATGCATTGTATCAAGACCTTCAATTTTTATATACGTTTGCCATAAAAGTAATAACTACTTTATAATTTTCCGTGAAAATTACTGTACTAAATTATTAAGTATCAATTTCATACTATATTTAATTGCTATAATAAATATTTATACATATATTACACTTTCATCAGGATCAGATCATGCTGTTTTTGGAAATAATACATCAATTTTTTAAAATTAAACACTTTCTACAGATTTGCATGGAAGCGTTTTTTATGATAGTGATTTTAATTACTGTCAGATTAAATCTAAACTGTACCCAACTATGGCACGTCCCCACTGTATTGGATTGATTTTTTTATTTATTCATTATTATATAATGTATAATTTTCAAATTTTGTCATTGTAATCGGTATGATTTCAATATATATATATTTTTTTTAATTTATTAGTTTTTCAAAAAACACAGTTATTTTTCTCTAAGTTTATTAATATTCAAATCGCACATTAATTATTCCTCTTTTATTGATAATCTTAGAAAAACAATAAATTTGGTAAGAATATAAAAATATGAGTCTGATTAACTATTAAAGGATTTATCTTTTAATTTGTTTTAATTTTGTAAACTGTGCTCGCACCGTACAAAATTTAACTACTTCTACGCGTGCATTTGTTTTCACGGTGTTTCTCATGTCAATTTTCGGCATTTTTTTCAACCAAAAATACAATGAAGGATAATTACACAATGGATTGCACCGAGTTAATTGATCTGCACCATATCGGAACCCCAATTGTTTTTTATTTTAAAATCTAACGTTGAATGTATTGATAAAATGATAGTGTATGTGCTCATTGCCAAACCCGGTCCAATAACTGTAAGTTTTACCATATAACATTGTTAGCAGAGCCGGCACAAATTATGAAGCTCAAACTCAATCAACGGAATACCGTCTGGTAGTTTGGATAACTTCCATTTGCAATTTTCAAGTTTTCGCAACGTTTCGTGTCACATCCCTCACACCGTTGGTGTGTACACCGATATATCCAGTAGTGCTGATCCATATATATATATATACATTGCGGTCGAAATCCATATATTGGTGAGTGGTATATTTAGCGACATGTTTCTGCTGATAAATTACCGTAATTTTGTGGAAAACATACTTAATCACAGAATAAACAAGAGCTTATTTATTCTATGATTAAAATATCAACTTATTGTAAGAACAGAATGTGTGTATGATATATGAATACATATCGGCGCCACGGTTTGTGATCCCGCGTGTTAATTTATTGCTACCGATTTTCACGCTGCGCATCACAGAGGGATGGCTCAAATCTAATAGTTTAAAGATATGGGGGACGAGTAATTGATGCCTATGAAAACCTTTGACAGATAATGGCAATACGATTCCTGTACTATAAAATCTATAGATAGAAGTTCAAAATCACCTAACCGAAAACATCAGGCTGTCTTAAATGTCAAACGACAGGATACCCGTCGTCGTCCCACCACGGTAGGAAACTCGTAACTACAACAACAGCGATCCACCACCGCTGTTGCAGTTTCAAGACAACCATTTTTATCTTCTAGTTCCCTGGTACCGTTTTTCTAGAATTCGACCAACCATTACTTCACGACGTACCGTGTAACGGAAGTCATTACAAAAATAACGTATTCCTCCTGAATCCCTGGTACAGTTTTTCTAATTTTTTTTCGGCGTGAGCGCAGCATGTCGTCTACAACATATTTAACGCGAAACTCTGATGGTTTAGTTGCCTATAGAAAACGCCTTAAACTGGACTTGCTTATAAACGTAGCTGTTTTTGTCTGCATTATTTCTCAATTTATATTTTCAAATTATACGCGTCTAATAATTTTGTATACATATGCATATGTACATATATATACAATTTTTTATGAGATACATCCTAAATTAACTCTATTTTATTAAAATATTCTCATTTTCTAAAGGAGCTAAACAACCAAATAATATTCAATTAATATATTAAAAATTTATTTTGTATAAAGTTTATTATTAACAAAAAGAACATCTAAAGTTCCATGAACCCTAACTACTAATTAATATTGTAAATTAAATCTTCGAATGATAATTCATATTTTCTAGTATCTACATTCAATATTTAATGAAGATAGTTTATTTATAATAATTTCAAATTTTTTTAATTTGATGATATACAATTTTATTCAGCGTTGTTTATCTTGTGTACTTGTAGTCACGTTCAAGTCGATGTCTATGACGAAACAATAAATAATGAAACTTTTTAAGTTATAACTGACAAAGTTTAGTATCGTTAAATCTGACTTTTTTGATTTTTGACGTGCTCAGTATTAAATTATAATGATCTTG